TTTTTTTTTCCCTACAGGGGGCCGGGGTCCCGGGTGCCGACCCCCGGAACCCCGGAACCCCGGCGGGGTCCCGGGGCCGGGGGTCGACAACCCTGCTAGAAAGCGACAGACGCAATATGGTGAACGCGACTACTCGGTTAGGAACGGTCGGAAGAAGAATTATTTGTGACACTGTGATGGAGGAGGTTGTTGGAGGCACCACGATCAAAGCAGAGCCTGAGATCGGAGAACCGGAGAAAGTGTACGGGAGGCCTAGGGAAGAGGAGCCTACGGACAAGGTCACTGCTACCAAGAAGAAATTTAGATATCAAATCCCGATCCTAATCATGCCAGAGATCGACAGCACCCTTAGCAAATTACTAGGAACCATGGTATCAGTGTCCTTTCAGACCATGTTGCAAGCAAGCCCCAGACTGCTCAAGGGGCTTAGACAACTACTGACTCGACAGCGAGTGGAGATAAATGAAAATTCGGAGTCACAAGAAGAGGAAAAGGAGGAGGAAGCTCCGCAAGAAGTCGCTAATCTTCAAAGGAGTCCTGAAGATTTGAAGGATTTAGAAAAGGTCTTCGGGGATATTCACTTGAGCATGCCGGACCGCGAAGGCGGGGCAGTCATGAAGGCTCCATCTGGGACGAAGCTTAGTTTCCATGCGTTGCCCTTAGAGAAGTTAAGGGTGCAGATCGGGACATATCATACAGACGTCCTAGTAGACGGAGGTGCGGAAATCACACTCATAAGGAGAGATTTCGCAATAATTACCGGCTGTGTGGTTAACAAGGAAGTAATGGGGAGCATCCGAGGGGCTGGTGGCGAGATCCCGTTTTCAGGATACGTCACCAAATGTGCGGTCAAGGCAGGCATCCGAGAGTCGATTTTGTCATTTCAACGGATGACCATGTTAGACGAGATGGACCACGACATAATCCACGGGAGGCCATGGTGCGCCAATGTAGAAATGATAGGGATGCATCTGCATGATGGCACATACATGGTGGACTTAGAGGATCCAGTAACTGGTCGTGGGGAGCTCCTCCGACTCATCGGGACCGGAGGGGACCCTCCTAAAGGCAAGTTGGCAACATGGTCGCCGACATTTGAAGATAGCGCTCGGAAGGGGGCTTTTGCGCGAATGGAAGGTATGAGAGAGGGGGTAAAAATTATGAATGAGGAAGTATTCAACAAGAAAGAATGGATCAAAATGGGTCTGCCTCAGAAGAAGAGAAGATAGGAGGACAAAATCTTAGGTGTCATGGTGGCGGAAAGGAAATCGGAGGTTGAACTTTGGGTCAGCCTGCCCAAGCGGAAAGAGGTACGCATGGAGGTACCGGAAATCGCGCTCGAGATTCTCGATTTATTACAGCTCCTCAAGGCTATCAGATATCACAAAGTAGGAGTGGACCCGGCAGCGCTGGCCAAATTTGAAGGGGAAGTACAGAAGGGATATTGTCTGAATGGAAAGATAGTCAGTATTCAACCACGGATCGTAGAGGCAACAAGGGTAATTTCGACCGTTCATTTTTTAGGAGAAAGATCCCGGAAGGAAGTGTTCGAAAGTACAAGCCAGTAGGGAAGAAAGTGAAGTCAGTCTCGATCCTGCTAGAAACATCTAAGGAAGAGGTTATGGAAAGGGAGGAAAATGTTCTTTGAGTAATCCGAGAGAGGCGAACAATGGAAGGACATCGGATACCGGATGAGGTGGCTGACACAATGAAGATAGGGATAGAGGGATTCTTAACAGAAGAAGGGACCCTCCTGATCAAGAGGACATGTCAGGAGTTCCATCTGACATTTGTCTTCAGTGATCATCAAAAGGGGCGGTTAGACGCAAAACTAATCCCTCCAGTCAGGATCCACACAGTAGAGCATGAGTGTTGGAATGACAAAGGACCGTCCTATGAGTTCGGGATAGAGGGGGAAGTGACAGACCTTCTCCGAGAAAAAATGGACTCCTTCATCGCGGAGCCTACTGCGTCACCGTATGCAAATGGGTGGTTTGTCTTTCGAAAACCCAACTAGACGCTAAGGTGGATCCAAGACCTGCAGAAGCTGAATGCAGTGATCATCCGAGATGCCGGTTCGCTACTAAAGGCTGACTTATTGGCAATATCCCACGCCGGTCAGAGCATCTATTCTCTGGTAGACTTGTATTCGGGGTACAACCAGCTCCCATTGGACGCTCAAGGCAGACCATACACTGCGATGCATACTTCCGTAGGGCAGTTGCAGATGCAGGTAACACCTATGGGCTTTACGAATGCATTAGCCGAAGTGCAGAGAAGGATGCTCGCCGTAGCCGAGGACATGTTCCTAGAGAAGAGTGAACCCTACATCGACGATAATCCGATCAAGGGCGCCCAAGAGAAGGACGAGACGGAGGTCCAATCGGGAATTCGAAAATTTGTGTGGGATCATCTACAGGACATCAAGGACTTACTCCGTCGGTTTCTAGTATACAACATCACGGCTAGCGGACCAAAGAGTATTCTGGCAGTATCGGAAGTGACCATACTGGGATTCCGCTGTGGCGCATGGGGAAGGAAGTCGGACCCAGCAAAAACTGACAAAATATCACAGTGGCCTACGCCCCTGCGCACAACAACGGAGGTAAAGCATTCTTAGACGTGGTCGGCTTACGGAGGATTGTTATTAAAAATTTTGTAAGGATTGCCGAGCCTATCCGCGCCATGATCAGAGAAGAAGGAACCATGGATTGGACGGAGGAGCGAGAGGATGCCGTCCAAACTGACATCGGAGCAAGTCACTTTGGCAGCACCGTGTTTTAACGACGAGGTTGGACGGTCGTTTATTCTAGAGACGGATGGAGGGCCCCTGGCCGTAAGGGGTGTCTTGGTTCAAAAGGATGAGGGAGGAAAAGAGAGACCAATTAGGTTCGAAAGTAAAACCCTGAACTCCGCAGAACGATGATACTCACAATTCAAGGAAGTCCTAGCCATTCTACATTGCCTCAAGATCTTCCAAACCTACCTATTCGGGAGGCGGTTCATCATAAGAATCGATCCGACGAATGTCGCGGGGGCTTTAAAGAATTACAAGCCTATAGACCCGACGGTGGAGAGATGGGTAGGATTCATCTGGCAGTTCGATTACAAGATCGAACGAATTATTGGACTCAGAAACAAGGCCGATGGGCTAAGTCGGGTCTGCATCACACCCGAAGGGGTGGAGGATGCGGAGCCCATAGACGCGTTCCTTGAATACGAAGGAGGAACCCTTGCGGTGGATAATGAAAGAATGAGCGAAGGATGCACGTCGGGAGAATTGTTGATTCAGACTTTGGAGAAAGGGGCCCCAGCCATAACAGTGGAACTTAGGGAGGGGTCAGTCACTATCCGAGGACGCAAAGAGGAGAAGGATTCGTAAGGGGCGATAGTAGGTCCGAAGGAGGAATTGATAGCGATGGCCGTTGAGGAAGGTCGGGAAGCCGTGATGAGCCTAGTGGAGTCTTGGGAACGAAGAGAGTTGCAGCCAATGGTAAACCAGATGCACGAGAGGCAGGGTGAGGATCAGGAAGGAAATGAGTTCTTCTACGTTAAGATGTACGAAGAGATATTTCGAGAAATTGGGTTGTTGCTGGTAGGAAAGAAGCAGTCCATAAAAATCATCCTTAAAGCAAGGGAGGAGACCGAAAAGTACATCGTAAGGAGCGGCCATTTGTTCAGGAGGGAGGAAGACGTTACGCTTAGAAGAGTCATATGCGGGAGGTATAGGCAGCTAAACGTGGTCCAGACAATGCATGACGGACTTGTAGGAGGACATCGATCGTCCAAAGGAACTCCTGCAAAGATAACACCTCTTTATTATTGGTCAGGCATGGCAGGTATGGTCGCCACCGACGCCACGTACTGTGAGACCTGTCTGATCTGCCAGGAACGGAGCTTGGCTCGCATCTTCGAGCCACTTAGACCAACACGGGTGTTGGGGCCGGGACACCTGGTTCACCTTGACCTTGCAGTTATGCCTGTATCAACGGATGGATATAGGTATATCCTGGATGCGCGGGACAGCTTGAGTGGGTTCGTAGAGGCAGTCCCCATCAAGAAAAAGACAGGGAAAAACGTAGCAAATTGGATAGAGGATTTCTACCTGAGGCATCCCTTCGTCAGGAGGTTTATAGCAGACAATGGAATGGAGTTTGTGAACGAAGAAGTATTGGGAATGCTTAAAAGGTTCTGTGTACCTATCAAACTCATCGAGCCGTATCACCCGGAGGCCAATGCACTTGTGGAAAGGGGGCACCGGACCTTAAAGAACACAATTGCGAAGCTCGCGGCGGGCAATCTGGGGAGTTGGCCTAGGTATCTTAAGCAGGTTGTCTTCTCGGAGAACATGACACCTAAGAGGACAATGGGACGTATCTCAGCAGAACTCTGGTACGGAAGAGAGATCGATTTTCCCATGGAAGTCTTGATACCTACCTAGAACAGGTTAGATGACGATCCGCGTATGACCACGGAAGAATTAATTGAGGCGGGATGTCAACAAGTCCTTAGAAATGAGAAGGTCGTGGAAGACACTGCCAACCGGGTATTGGACAGCTGGATGAGGGACAAAACAAGGTGGGACCAGGTTAAGAATATCTGAAAGGAGCCACTTCAGGTAGGAGAGACAGTACTGGTAAGAAACTCGGCACTTGAAAGCACCTGCTTTGGGCAACTGGGAGGAGGTTCAAAAGCCCCTACCGGATCGCCAAGCGGGTGGGATTGAACACCTTCGAATTGGAAGATTTGGATGAAACTGGATTGAAGGGGCCCTTCTCAGGGCAACGGTTGGTCAGGTTTCTAAGTCGGGACCCAGTGGAACAATGGCTTCAGGAGGTCCATGATAAGGAAACTGGGGCATCTGCAAGCTGAGAGTTGATGGCAGCCGTACCCACCCTCTGTTTTTGTCTCTAACTACGTCTGTGGGACTTTCCTTTTTTGGGGAGGGGGCAATGGCTTGGGCTGATTGAGAATGCGAGGCGGAATGTCCTGGGACTCTTCTGTACCAATGGGTTTTGTGTGGTAATGGGAAAGACTGTCGGGAGCATTGTATCATAGTTCTTGAAGGAAAAATAATGGGATCATTACAAATGTGGCATTTGCATGAAAGGGCAATGTATAATAGTGGCCTTGTGCGAGGGATACTCGGAACATTCTGGGGGAAGGGATATTTCCTACCGAACTGGGAGGGGACGTGTGTATGAGGGGCTTGGCGGGTGTTGTTTTGTTATACAGGATCAGGGGAGAAGCCTTGAAAAAGCAAAAAAAAAAATGGAATTCGGCAACGAGAATGACAGCGGGGCGATCAACAGGGTCAACAAAGGGGGAGGAGCAGGACCAAGCCGTGAACGGAGGACTGCAAAGAGAAGTTGTACATAGGGTACCTGTCCAAACATGTAGTGGGCAGGGGGGCGAGAAAACAGGTGTGTAGAGGGTCCTCGCCTCTCAGAAAGGGAGAAGGGATATACATTTCATCAGGGACTGAGAGTGAGGAAGAGAAAACAATGTGGGAGAGAGGACTCGGGCCTCTGTCGAGTAGAAGGCCGAAGAATGCGAACAGCATGAACCTTGGCATGGGGAGAACAAAGGAAAGCAGGACATGAGTGACAGACATGAAAGAGGGGAAGAAGCGAGGGAAAACTCGTATGAAGAGCAGAGCGGCCATGGCGGTTGTGAGAGAAGGAACACGGACTTTGGGGACGGGTATGAAAGGAGGACAGACGTCCCCTATAACCTAGACCCGAAGAACTTCACGGGTGAATTCAGCCCCGTACGGACGGCAGAGGATGAGAACGAGGAGGAAGAGGTACAAGAAATCATCGAGATTCGCCGTGGCGATGAAAGGGATGAGATCTCAAAGCCTCGAGAAGAGAGGCGACCACCTACGAACCAGCCATGTTGTCGGCGCGAATACCCTTACAAGGGTATCCGCCCTGGCTTTTGCAAGTGACAGAAAACAAGTTTTGTTCGAAATTTGAGTACATTGTGCAAGTCGTGGTTGCACTTTGCTCATGCTGACTGAATGGTTGACTGAAAGTAGAGAGTATGTGTGCGTGAGCAATTTTAAGGCGCGCAATTTTAAGGCGTGCGTGATGATTCTTATTTTGATGCAATAGAGTCGGCATTGCCGTCGGCAAAATTTTTGCTTTGATTAAAATTAGGAAAGTTTTTTTACTGTGGTGCGCCTGTGTTCATACGACATGCGTCATCGGAAGTGGTGTTGCCTTGGGCAATAATTGGGGCGTGCGAGAAGTAGAGGTACAGGGATCGAGGGTGGCGACCAGCGGCAACGGAGCATTGGAGCGATCGAAGATGCCGAGGGGTTGAGGGCTCGATGGGGCTATCCCCCTTGGTTTTGTTGCCGGCCAATCCGTGGGCCCGGTTGACGGAACCCTAAAGCATCGGTTCCCGATGCTTGTATTTATATTTTTATTTTTCTTACTTTTATTTTTTATTTTTCTTGTCGGTCCTGTTTTTGGGACGCGACATCATCGTCGGTACTAAAGGCTGTTTGCGGGGTACCAGCCAACGTGGGATGAAGGAGTTGGCGGTTGCAATCTCGGCGAAGTGGACGCTACGGCAGGCCAAGGACTGAGAGCACGCACCTTTTTTTACGGCTCCGCTCGGGTCCCTGTGTATTCGGGATGCTGGCGAAATTCCTCAATCCTGCCTGTCTTGAAACACGGACCGAGGATTTCACTATGCATGCGAACTAGTGGGTGATGAGCTCACGAGGTGGAAGAAACCTGGGTGGCGTGGGCCCTCTGTTGGAGCACCACCAACCACCCAAGATCTGCTGTAAGAAGTTTGAGTGCGAGCCTGCCCACTGGGACCCGTAAGACGGTGAACTATATTTGGGCGGGGCGACGACCAGCAGGCACCAGTGCAGAGGCTGTGTACCGCTGGTCACACGGAACCCTTCCCCGTTTCTGCTGTTTTATTTTATTTTTGTTTTATTTTTACTGATTTATATATACCCTTTGGTTCCAGTTTGGGACACGGCCCAGGCGCTGGTTCCAGGGTTGGCAAAGGTACCAATGGGCTTAGCTCAGTTGGTACACCCATGAACGGTTGACAAACAAACCCAAGTTCGAGTCCAGATGCCATCAGACAGACTGATTAAGGTTGTCTGGGTTGGTCTCGGGTGAGTGTGCCCTCAGTCATTATGGCCAGCTCCTAAAGCACGCAGGCAAAGAACCGGGCCAGGTTCACGTACAGGAAAAGGGGGGGGGTTTGCTAATTCGAAGTGGTGAGACCTAGAGCGCATTTTTGGCAAAGCTCGGCCATGATAAGGCATGATCCGACAGGCCACAGGTAATTGGAACTTCTAATATTTGAGTCTTGTCGGACCGGCTGATAGAAGGGCATTTGAACTCGCAGGCTACGAGGAGGATTCAATGACAAAGAGGATGAAGGTGGGAAGGTGAAGACGAAGGAGAACAGTGGGATATGGCAGGGCAAATAATTCATATCTTGCCCATTCCTTAGCGGAATCGGGCGGACTAAGGCTCGATTTTGGGGTTTTGAAGCAAAGCGAGTGCAATGGTGATGCTAGTTTTTTCCATAGGATAGTGGTTTGGTCGGCACGAGTGTCAGAGGCTGCGCGCGTCAACCCATGCTGATTTCGGGAAAGTGGGGGATAGAAACGCGTATCTCGCTCGTTTGTCCATGGAATTGCGAGAGGTAAGAGGCGGACTGGAGGTTTTTGACTGCTGCGAATCTGATAGCAGTGTCAGACTTGGTGTTGGGGTCACAATTTTGGATTTGTGTGAGTTACAAGCCGCGCACGGGGAGGAGGTGTCTGAAAGTATGGCAATGTATCTTTCCATCTTTTAGTGGAAGGTACACTCTCATTCTTGCCCAACAGCAGGCATAGCAGCACACGACTTCCTCTTCAACATCATGACCATAGTGCAGGCAGTGGTCGCTGTGTCTATAGTGAACACCGTCATGCTGCAGTTCTCTGGGATCGTGTTCGTTGACGCATCCATCGTCATGTTCATGACCGTCAACTACAAGGTCCGACAGTGCCATCAGGCTCCTCGCGGTGGTTGGTATTATCACGATCGTGCTGGGCGGAGGCTTCTCACCTCTGTATTCGGCATGCTGACCATGATCATCATCTTCATCCTGGTGCAGCTTGTTTGGGGTCGCCATCTTCGTGATGCTTACTCTTCTTCAGTGATTATAATTGGGCAATGTAAGTGGTCTTCAACGTAGCTAACTAGACCTAGTCGTGCTTACGGCTAGGTGCATGTTGCGAAAATCATACTCATCAGGGTTGTGCGCACGACTCGGGCCTTGTTTGTCGAAAGTACTGAGAGTGAGGGTAGTGTGGCTGCTCATGACAACCTTCGTGTTTCGTCACCTTGATGATGAAAGTCGTCTGCATGATGATGCTCACCATCTAGCTCATCGCGTTTGTCATCTTGATGTCCTTCGGGCTTATCAGGCTCCTGATCATCGTGGGAGCTATTACGCCGAAAATTGAGTGGACCTGGCCAAGATTTCGAGCCAGGTGCGTTGAAATGGTAAGAGAGAGAGAGAGAGAGAGAGAGAGAGAGAGAGAGAGAGAAAGAACAGGTGCTTACCCCGACGAAAGGGAAAAATAGGAAGGTCGAAGGGCAGAAAAGACGGGAAGAAAATATAAACTATTGTATCTGGTGAAGGTCTATAGTCGTTTTTTAGTTGGTCGTTGCTCGAGCCATTCCCGTGGATGCTACCGTTACTTGTGCCTACCATTGAAGCTTACTTTTACTCTTATGTCATTGTTGCTACTACGTATTGCTAATCGAGTGGTTTTTTAGAGGTCGGATCATTAAGTAGAGAGAAGAGCACGAACTAACAAGGGAAGTAAGGGTTGGCAAGAAGAGCGCTGCTAGTTGCCCTGGGGGCATACTGCAGTTACTCAGCAGAAAGGCATCTGTTGTCTGAGTTTGTCCGGTCAGGGAGATTGGAACATGACAAAAGGAAAAATGGTTGTGCCTCTCGTTCCTTGGCACACAAGAAGAATTAGTACCTTCGTTGCTATTTGCTAATCGCAGAATTGTTGCGTTTCAAGCCAATTCTACTAGTTCAGCAGACTAATAGTCTTCGTAATCTACATTGCAGTACGACTGTTTTCATCGACAGAGTAGTGTGGATTCCTACAGGCCCAGTGGGGTTGTTGTCCGTTATTGAGGAGGTATTGTTTGTTATGGGGCACCACAGATACCGATATCACTGCGGTCTTTTTTGTTCGAACGTGGTATTGTTGAGCCTGCAGTGGAATACCGTTGATTGTTTGCACCACAAATACTACTTTGTTTTCACAGCACTATGCCACTATTTTGCTTCAGCACAAAATTGCAAGCGTTTGCAGTCCACAAACTGCTGTGTTCTTCATCGCAGTGGTGGCCGATCTTCTTCAAGCCTGAGTTGCCATCTCATTAGTCTGACACTGTTGCTGGATTTCACCACTGCTTGGCGCTACCATTGAGCTTAGTTGTAGTGTTTTGGATTGTGCGTCGCTCGGTTTGTTGTG